TCCCGAGGAGGGGCTGGGATCTTCTTGGGAAGACCAGCCCCCAACAGAGGCTGCTCCCTGGGTCCCCCGACTCCAGCCTTCAGGACTCCACAGCTCCAAGGGCCCGCCCCAGCCCAGGCCTGGGGACCACTGAGCCCCTCACTGGTCTTTGCTGGCCTCTGTCCACCTCCCAGTAGCTGTGTGTCTCCCACAGCTGCCCAGAGATAGGGCCTGCGGTGCCCATGTAGCCTCCCCGCTGTGCCTGGGGTGCTGACCTGGCAGCCCCATGGACACCAGGCCTGAAGTCTGGGCAGGAGCCTTGCCCCTCCCACGTTCTGGATGTTCCTGGCAGCAGCCATGCTGTCCGTGTTGGGCCATCTGCGGGCCCCCTTTGGCCCCATGCAGTAGTGACGCAAGGCCTCCCGTGTCCCCTCTCCTGGCCCTGCACTGCTACGGGCAGAAGCAACTGGAGAACTATGGCTCGGGCCTCACTAAGGTGCAGCATCACAAACTCCAGGACTCCTGAAGCGGGCATGGGGAGGACCACAATCCTGGCGACCTGGGCTGCCTGCCCAGGCCTGAGCCACCTCTATCTTCTCTCCTGGCTTGTTCTGGGGTCCAGGGCCTGGGCCTCTCTGGCTGAGAAACTGGGAAGTCACTGGGCTCTGTTTCCTGGGCTGGATATACCAAGACCAATCCTATAGGGCAGGGGTTCCCAGCCCACAGCCACAGACCAGTACCAGCTGGTGGCCTGTTAGGAACCGGGCAGCACAGGATAAGGTGAGGGAGCATTGAGGGAGCATGACCACCTGGGCTCCACCCACTGCCAGATCAGCCTGGGCATCAGATTCCCACAGGAGCATGAACCGTACTGTGAGCTGCACACTTGGATCTGGATTGCGCTCTCCCTGTGAGAATCTAATGCCTGATGAACTAAGGTGGGACAGTTTCATCCCGAAACCTTCCTCCCCAACACGGAAAAATTGTCCTCCATGAAACCTGTCCCAAGTGCCAAAAAGGTTGGGGACTTGCTGTGGGGCCACCCTGATCTTTTCTCCAGCTTCTGTGAGGTTGACCTGCAGGCCCTGAAGACTCCTGCCTGAGGCCTCTGCCTGAACCCTGTCCTCAGGGGGCCAGAAGCAAGCCCCAGCTCTCCCCAGACCTCCTATTGCTTGCTGAGGAAGCCGCAGGTGCACACTGGATCCGCCAGGCACAGAAGCATTGTGGCCCTCAGCAAAGCCCCCACCTTCCGCCAGGGCAGACGGCCTCGGGTGACCACGGGTGGTTTCCCTTCACTGGATTTTAAAATAAACCAGACTCCTCAGCAACTCCTGCTTCCAGAATCAAAAATAAGTGTCTCTGGGGCCCAAGGTCGGGGGTGAGGGGGACATACCAGCAGCTTCCACCGGAGGTGGGGTGGGGCAGGGCAGGGCACTCGCAGGGAAAACACTCGGGCAAACACATACCGCCCAGGGAAGACCCCCTGAAGCCGGTGGAGACCTGCCTTTGCTCAGGGCCTTTCCTGAGAGCTCAGTGGTGGGAAGGGTCCCACCTGGCTCAAGACATGGCCTGTCGGGGCCTCTGCAGCTGTTGGGTCAGCTGTGGGTGCAGAAGCTGATAGTCCCCCAGCTCAGGCTCTGCTGCTATCTTTAGTGCTGTGCTCAGACTCCAGTGGCCTGGGAACCCTCTGCAGGGAGCTCTGCAGCCCTTCTCACATTCCCGGTGGCCTCGGGGGGCCTCCCAACCATGCTTCCCCTTTCGGTGTGGTTCTTCCCACTCCTGCAGCCCAGCAATACCCCTTCAGGGTCATACCCAGACCCCACTGGACTAGCAGCAGGGGATGCCCTG